TATATATATATTCACTGTAATATGGTCAACTGAGTATTACAATTTTCACTGTAATAGAGTTGAGAGCCAGAAACAAACCAAGTGTCCATTCACCATGGTAACAAAACCTTAAAAAACAAAGAATGTTAAATATATAAATTAAATTGAATTAAATATATTTGAGCAGACAGATCTCCCTGCTATGTGAGCAAAAAAGCAAACTTCCATACTGATGTTTGCACACGCTATAAAACAGTCCGTGTGAAAGCACTGAAAAATACACAAAAACAATTCCACAGCTTCTTCACGGGGTGTTTGTAAGGTATAAAAAGACAACTGCACGGAAGACCACCTTGGGAAAGAAGAGCGGGTCTGGGATAAAGAAACTTAAACTGTGAAGTGATTTATTTAATTAACTGCTAGCCTATTTCTTTTATTAAAAGAGAAAATATTTGCAAGACACAAGAGAAAATGTTAAGGCATTAGTTCTGACTACAGGTAAGTTCACAAAGTTATTATATGGCTATGCTTTTTTAATATTTTAATTTTGGGGAAAAAAAGAAGGAGGGAGGGAGGGAAGGAAAGAGACTGATGGACACCCTACACCGTGAAAGGATGGCGAGGAAGCTGGCTAGGGGATTTCAGTGACTCTGGATAAATACACCTGGGTTCGGGTCTCTGACTCCCTGGGCTACCCCAGTGGTGGGGACTCAGCCTCCTGGCCTCTGCCCAGCACCCCTTGGCAGGCAGAAGATGAAGTGCATGCTGCACTGCCCCCTACTGGTGACTTCCACCTGTGTCCCAGAGATCCTAGGCCTCAAGGCCTTTGTGACTCTCATCTCAGCCAGAAGTCCCTTAGCAGGCTTTCCCCAGAAAATCTATTCTTCTCCACCACCACCACCGCCGCCGCCCCGCCCCACCCCCGTCTCCTGTCAGATTGCAGCGCCACTCGCAGAGCTCTGCTTAACGCAGCACATCTCCAGCAAGGATTTCGTCCCCAAGGACGTAGAAACGAGGGCTGGAATCTTGGCACAGGTCTTTGTCAGGAGTGTGGCCCATAGCCTCCAGCGACCAGGGATCTACAAGGCTGAAGGCCCAGGGTTTTCAGGCACAGCCTGCCTTCCAGCAGTTGCCTCTTAGGAATCTCACAGCAGGCTGACAGAGCTTGGGTTCTTCCAAGAAAATTAAGCTTCTCCCCCTGATCTTCAGAGGTTGACTTCCTTCTGTTTTAGAAGTCAGCAGCTTTTACATCAGAACAACAACATTAGGTGGAGTGGGAATCTTAAACTTGACCCTCCTGAAGAATCTGCCTCGCCTCCTTGATCCTGTCCCCAACTTATCAGCCATCTGCTGGGTTGCCTGCAACCACCCTACGTCACCCAAAATACGTCTTCCTCCTTCCTCAAGTCCATACCAGAACCTCTATGA